TTTCAACTGAGGGGATGTTCCTCTGGAACAACTTACTCCCAGTTCCTTGTAAGACACCTCTTTTAATTGTTTGCTTCCTTGACACCTTTCCATTGAATTCTTCCTTGACCACACTATTGCTCATTGTTTCCAACTGCTCCAACTACTGAACCCCATTTACTACTGTGTGTTTTCATATGTAATTTCTTCAATTATAGTACATTTTATGATCTAATAGGTTACATCAGTTATTTCTGTACTTTTCCACATTGAGAGGAATCTATAATCAATGCCTACTACTGTTGTCAAAACCAGATCCCCAGATCTCCTTTTGAATCCTTTCCTGATCTATGAGTTATTTATACCAGTTGATGACGTGTTCCATAGGTTTCTATAAGTTTGCAAAACTTAATTAAAATGAGTCATATTTTCTATCCATTATGGAATGCAAGATAAAATTTATATTTCAGAGATAAAAAGGTTAATTAATATGTATTTTAAAGATAAATTCAGAAATTCATATTATATTTAGCCATAAAAATGGAAAACACACTTTGTGTAGGTAATTACAAGAATAGTAGAGAGCCAAACCAAAACACGTATATGAAAAATGCAGTGACAGGCACACAATGAATGGAAATATTTTAGCACCAAGCCTCATACAAATTAAGAAGAGCAGTTCCTAGAACTAGATGCTAGAAATAAAAATAAGTTAAATCTAGAAAAATTGGAGAAATAATACATAACAATGAAAATACCATAATTTTCCAAAAATTACATGGTGTTTATCAAAAAATGAAAAGTGTAGCAAATTACTTGCCACAAAGAAATGATAAAGGTGTGTTTTGATGGATATGCTAATACTGTTGAGTTTATTGCTACTCATAGGCATAAATCTATTTATTAAAATCCACATATTGAATTTGTGTAAATATTGTCATTCAGGAATGAAAATAAGATAAACAAATATTTGATTCTTTAACCAGTCAAAGTTGAAAGAAAAGAAAAACTACCATGATAATATTACAGAGAGTGAGGGAAAGACAGAAAGAGAAAAGCATAAGGAGGTAAATAAAAGTAGGAATTTGAACTGTGATGAACTTGCAGTTAAACTACATGAATGTTTACACTGAAAGGGATTAAAAATCTTTGGTGTGACTTTGGTTGCTGCTGTGAAACAGAAGTTAGAAGAATTGCTCTGGCATCTTAAGCAGCTCTACACACAGCCCCAATGTGTTTCAATGATAGAAAATCTTTAGTCAAAAAAATCTTCCTTGTGGCATCTTGCAATCTTATGACTATTGAGGTGATATTGGGTTAGATATTCACCCTCAGCTTCTAATTTGGCTTAAACCTCAATGTTGGTGTTAGGGTTAGGGTTAGGGTCATGGTTTATGGTAAGAGTGAGGGTTGTTAAAGTTATAGTTAGGATTAGGTTAAGGTTGTTAGGGATTAGGTTTAGCATTAAGATTGTTAAGGTTACAATGTGGATGAACAGTGTTGCCTTTCTACACATCCATGAACAATATAATACTTAACAGAAGTAGCTCTTATTCTCCATGACAAATTTTCTCTTGAAATTTCCAGAACACTCTTTTTCCTCAGAGGGTCACTTTTCTCAATAAATGACAGTTAATTTTATGGGATTTAATGCAAACCTCACAATACCTATTCTCCTTGATTCTCACTGTCTATGTTTTCCAATCCTACATTTGCTCCATCTTCTTGGACAGGTAATATTAAATGAAATATTTCAGTTTAATTATTATGTTTTAATTTATTTTTAAGATTGCAAAACATTTGACTTGATTATATATAACCAAAGCAAGTTTTTGTCCATTGAATTCATTACAAAATTTAAGTTTTACTCCACACTGATTTTGTCTTTCTGATCATTTTACTTTTGTATAATAGAAACAAAATCAAGTGCCACAAAACAGGAAAACACATTCCACACATATAGATTGTAGTTGAAACTGGTGACTCCGGCCAATTGGAATGGAAGTTCATTCCCATTCCTGTGGTGCCTCAAAATGTGCATTTATCACCTGTGAATAGATGGTTCACTTAGTGAAGGATGAGGCACCATAGAATACGTAACACATAGAGGTGTTGGTTATTAAAAGGCTGACCTAACATATGTCATGTTAGATTATTGTGTTTTTGCCATAATATTAGGATGAGACTGAAAACAATAATTCTGTGGAACTATAAGTACACTTCCAAATAAGCATTATGGACACAAAGGAAAATAATGGGGACAATTACTAGTTTGTAAAGAAAATCTTAACAAGTCTTGCATTTTTTCATTTTGTCAGTGAATTTTCTGTTTTCTATTTCTGTCTAATGAATATACCTTACTTCTACCATCATGTTTTACTTCTACGAACAAAATGTTTTCTGGTGAGAATTGTGTTGTTCCATCCATTTGAGTCCATCATTAAATAAATATGTCTCTGGAAATGTGTTGCCCATCACCCTGATCCAAAAACTCCCTGACTGATGTGAATGTACATATTATTCTTTGGAAATTAATGCAGTTTTGTGTCATTTTAAGAAGTAAATAAAATGCAATTCAGGCACTGTTTAGAGTATCTCCAGAGGACATGAAGTGATTTTGGCTTTCAGGGTGTGGCTTCTGATGAAATAGGCAAAGTCTTTGTTTACTCAGTCCTTGAACTCTTGTCCTTGGAACCAGGCCAAGTAATCTTTCCTAGGAAACTATGCCCTGAGGATGACCAAATGATCCAGTGTTCTGAATGCCCATTAAATGAGGCCCCTGGAGGTCAGCAGGTGGAAGGGAAGGTGTGAACTCTTCACTGTACATTCACTGTTCCTTTCCCCATTCTTTTCAGACAAGATTTCATGGTGAAGTTTCTATTTGACCAGGCTTTGAAAAAAATTTCTACTGTGATATAATTTACTCATTAACAAATGACTGCACTAATACATAACAATAAATTACATCAAGTAAAACCTATATGTATGAGAAATTTTCAACTTCTTACATATTTTTCATATTTTATTTCTCACCGTATCTTGAGGTTGAACACTTTTTACCCAGATAATCTTGGAAGAAGGTTTATTGTTCAGCATCTTTGTGCCACAGTAAGTATCATTCTTTACATTGGAGTGGATTAGATCCTAAAAAATAAAATGGTTATTTGATCAGAAAATCTTGTATTCACATATCTCTTAGGCCTTACTATGAGTAATGGTAAGATCTGTGAAGCAAGAATATACATTTGGTGATTTCAAAATCTGCAAGCAATGTACATATTTTGAAAATGTAATATTTTGAAGAAATGTCCTTTTGAACAGTCAAATTAGGAAAAGGTGGTAGGAGACAGACATCCATACTGCCCTCACTCCCACCTACAACCCTCACAAAAGCAGGAGAATGTTTATTTTGCTTGAAAGAAAAGTGTTTCTGAATAGTTAGCTTCAAATTAGGTAATGGGGCCTGTTATGCCTCAAATCTCTACCTCCTCAGGCCAGGGATCCCAGGGATTTTATATCCTGATCACTCCCAGCTCCCTTCTCTTGTCCAAATTAATCCAGACCTTGGCTTCCTGATGCCTGGATCTGGATATGACTTTCAAAGGGATCTGATAATTTTCTGACCACAGAATCACTTCTTTGGCTTCTTTTCTGAGCTGACATCAGGAGTGGTGGATATTTGAGTTCTGAGTGAAAGAAATTTGAAGAAGTAGCCTATCATTAAATATCCTAATGCTTAAAAATTCATTTTGCCCTGACACCAAGAACATCTTAGGTTAAATATTAACTTAAATTATTTACCAATGCATGACACAGGAACACCATAATCTGATCATATCTCATAGGGTGATTTAATTTACCTCAGAATTAGAAAAGAATGCAAAAAAATATAACAGTCACTTATGTTAAAAGAATATAAAAATAACTTAAATCAAGAAAAAAAATTTTCTGTACATCTCGGGTTATTACATTGTTATATTTCTTGTCAGAAAAAAAATCGTAATTTTCAAAATTTCTAGATGGACAATATGGGAAAATATTGTTTTCAGCAACCTTGACACAGAGTCAGTCTCATTCTTAAAATTAGAGTGTTTTAGAAAAGATATAATAAAATAAGAAATTTATCATAAGATGATGCATATAACTACATTTAAATCTCAACTAAGTAATATTAATATATTCAAAGCAGGAATAGAGAGATGTTAGAATTGCAATCAGCACTGCAAAATGTAACCTTACAGCTTTTTTTTTCCACTTTAGAGAAAAATGGCTTCCTAAGGGCAAAGGGATAAATAGCCAGCAGAAGGCATGTGGGGCAGCAGCTAGTTAAAAAATATCTTAATGTTTAAAAAGTTATTTTACCTTCTCAGTTTTGATAGATATATTCAGCAATTCATTACTATATGTAGTATATAATGTAAAGGGGCCTCGCCTAAGTTTCTGAAAATGTGAAATTGATTTGTAATTCATGCCCAATCAAATTGGGAACTACATGAGAATAAAAGGTAAACTGAAATTATTGCCCTTATAGTTTATTATATATCCTTGCACAAGTTTATAAAAACAAGCTATAAACAGGAATAGAGAAATTTTAGCATTCTCTCAGGAGGAAAAATAACTTGGTAGGATTTCAGTGATAACAAGGAACTGCTCTGATTTCACAAAAGTTCTTTACTTTGCCCTTCTTGTGATCTAAAAATCTGTGGCTAGCAGTGACTATGGCATAAAATTTATATGTGAATTAAATGTGTTACGGAGAAAAACATTTAGGGTGTGCCATCTTAAAGCTAATTCTATAGGATGGAACCTTTTACTATGTCAGAAGCAAATCTCAGGTCATACCATATCCTTGTCTATCTGACATTTGAATTTTTTTCTTCATATTTAGCAAAGTTTTGTCAATTCCAAGGAAGAGTAAACTAATTTAAGAAATACTAGTCCACTCATACAAATAAAATCTGTTTTCAGTCACTCAAGCTAAGGATGGAATTGGATTTCACAGTAGTTTAAAACATTGCACCATGAGTAGAAGCAACTCCACCACTCTGACTGACTTCATCTTCATGGAGATGACAGACACTGCAGAGACACAGCTGGTCCTCTCTGTGCTCTTTCTCCTGATTTACCTGATCACGGTGCTGGGGAATGTGGGGATGATACTGATCATTTGCCTGGATACCCAGCTTCACACCCCCATGTACTTTTTTCTCACTCACCTGTCATTTCTCGACCTCAGCTACTCAAGTGTTGTCACCCCTAAAGCCTTACAGAGCTTACTGACTTCCACCAAGAGCATCTCCTTCCTGGGCTGCTTCACCCAGATGTACTTTTTTATTCTCTTGGCTGCCACTGAATGTTTCCTTCTCTCCTCGATGGCCTATGATCGCTATGTAGCTATTTGCCACCCCCTGAACTATCCCATCATTATGTCCACAGGACTGTGCCGTACCCTGCTCACTGGCTCCTATGCTATTGGCTTTGTGGATTCCACTGTGAATGTAGTTTCTATAAGCCAATTGCACTTCTGCAAGTCTAATATCGTACAGCACTTTTTCTGTGACACATCCCCAATTTTAGCCCTGTCCTGCAGTGACACATTTGAGGTTGAACTCATTATATTCATCTGTGCCGGCTTCAACGTAGTGCTGTCCCTCATCACCATATCTGGATCCTATGTGTCCATCCTCTCTACCATCCTGAAAATTAATTCCACTGCTGGAAAGAAAAAAGCATTCTCCACCTGTGCCTCCCATTTCCTGGGAGTCACCATCTTCTACAGCACTATCATCTTTACTTACCTAAAACCAAAGGCATCCTACTCCTTGGGAAGGGATCAGGTGGCTTCTGTGTTTTACACGATTGTGATCCCCATGCTGAACCCTCTCATTTACAGTCTCAGAAACAAAGAGGTGAAGAATGCTGCCCTGAGAGTCCTGCGGAAGAGAGAGAGATGCGGGCTGTTAATATCACAGTGGTGCTGAGTATCTACACTTGTCTTTTGTTTTTTCTAGTAGGAAATTATTTAGTCTGTTTTTCAACCAAAAATTGTGAGTATTTCTATGCTTTTTTCCTCTGCAGCTGTCCTTTCCTTATCAATTATGATAGTGGACATTTCCAGGAACTGATGTTTAGACATTTATATTTCATCTGGCAATCGTGAAATACGAGTTATTCCATAAGGAAATACTCATGGCTTAAAGGGCAACTAATGTGAAAAGGAAGAAAATATGTTTGTCTTATTGAAAATGACATCATACCATATTAATGATTTTAGAGAATTTTATATTAGTCATACATCTTATAATAGAGATTAAATAGCAGTGTTTTGAGAAATGGCTTTAAAATCACGATTCAGTCATTTAGATTCTAGATCTCCCAACTTCCTAGCATGCAGCCCACATTAATTCATTGAAATTCTAACAGTGAGGACAGACAACTGCACAACAGATATAATAATTCCATCTGTTTGGTCATCATGTGTTTGTAAATCATTGAGGGCAATAACAATGAATAGTGGCTATTATTATCAGGTGATTTGCATTTCTATGATATTTAATGCATAATACATTTTTGAATAACATTACTTCATGTTATATGAGTTTTTTATTAATTTAATATATAACCATAACACCTGAAAAGGAAAAAACAAAAGCCAGTATTTCCCAGTTTTAGATTCAGCATAAAGTTAAATATTGAATTAGAATGAAGTTATAGGAAAGTAATGTGTCCTAATATTGAAGACAATTTGGACAATGACAATTACTAGAAAAAAGATAAACGTTGCACTATTTATTGACATTCCTATGCATGTTCTTCTGCATCAGTGGTTATGAATATATGTCTACATGTTTAATGTAATTTTTCTTTATTTTCTTGTATAATATTTATTGCTTTCTTTGTTTACTTTAAAGTTATACATCCAATATTCAGTGTAATTTTATCATGCAAGATTAACATGTTTTCACTATAGGAGAAATTTTCAGACTCTTATTTCAAGCACTTTGATATGTTCATAAATGTGTTTTCTTACATTTATTTTAATATATTTGTATAAGTTAGAAAATTTATACTACTGAGTTTTTTTGGCAAACCTGTCAATAGAATCTCTGACTTGGAAAACAATATTTAAATTGAAGAAATTCCTAAATACTAATTAAATTAGTGCTATTTGATTTTCTTTATTCCATAGGGTATAAAGCATTTATATCATGCTATTAAATAAGCATAATAAAATCTCTTGGCCTTAAGAAACATTTAAACTCTTCGCATTTGTCCACATATTTATTTCCCATATCACTACATGGCTCATATAGTGGAAGTTATTTTCCTGAAATGATGTGAGATCTCATGCCTTCTTTCACGGTACCAGGTTAGTGTACTATGTAATATAAATATGACTTTTTAAAAGGCCACAATGCAGTACAGCAAAATACGAACACCTGGTTTTGCTTCCTAATAATTAATAGCTAGACAGAAACACTGCTCTTATAGTTTACTAAAACAGACATTATTGAAATGTGTGCATTGTTCAATGTTTTGTACAGAATCTAATAGAAGACACTGTGCTTGGCACTGGGGGCTAAAGCTTCAAAGACACAAACATAAATTAGATACAGAAAATGAATTTGGTATAGGGAAGAATAACACGAGATTTTGGATGACGATGGGCGGGTAACTGTGTTAGGAAACAGTTTTCATAGTGTGATAAAACATTCAGAGATAGAGTTGCTCAACACAAAACAATACCCATGGCTATCACCTGAATTTATTGGTGTTTCATACTCACCCTGTTGCTCAGATTACTTTTCGCTTGGCTGTTTATGGCAGATAACTCAGTGCTCAGGTTCTCCTAAGTTTTTGCTCTGTTATCTTCTTCCACATGGTCGGGGGGAGTTCATCCAATATTCAGTGTGAAGCACAGGTGAAAATGTTTTACAAAGGAAAAACCATTATGCAGATTGTATTCATATGAATGCTTTTCATAAAATACTTTATGAAATAGATAATTACTCATATTGCTTATTTCTTTTAATGTATGTTTAAAGAACTTTACTTTTTCATCATCAAATTCATTAGCAGAACATTTCTATAATATATCTTTCTTTCCATTTTAATTTTTGTGGGGACCTGGTGATATGTCTTTTTATTCTTGATATTATATTTGTTGTTCTCCATGTAGTAACAACATTTGTTTTCAACCCCATATTATATTAATGTCTACCAAAATCAAACAAACAAAAAATATATATATTATGACTTTTTGGTGTTGGGAATTGAACCCATGTCATGAACAGCAATAGGCAAGCACTATACCTTTAAGGTACATATCCAGCCTTTATTAAACAAGCAGCAATAAAACACTGCTTCAATAATATTGATCAATTTTGCCCAATTCTTTGTTATTTTTCTTATGAATGTTATTTTAATACATGGCTTAAATTCATAATGCAGTAGTATAATTTTCCTTGGTCCTTTAGTTTTGAAGTAATTAAAATTAAAATTTACAATGTTTGTCAAATTTGATTTTATATTGTTACATTTGTCATTTCTATTTCTGCATAGACTCAAGTGTCCTTCATAGTTATCCTTCCCAGGATACTTTGAACTGCTTAATCAATGGCTTCCTAAATTTCTTATTGTTAAAAAAGTGTGGACATGTATATCCTCACATTTTTCCTGTTCCATTACTGCTTTATGTTAGATTACTTGATAGTGCCCTGCAGTTACTTTATACTTTTATTTATTACAGTTTCTTAACATTCATTCTGTTTAGATCAGTTCTGTTGTTTCATTTTCTACTTTATGATTATGTCTTAATGTGCAGTGACTCCACAGATGACCCTGTTGTAGGATTCCATGAATCTGATTTTGTGTGTTAGTGGGTGAGTGCATGTGTGCATGCATCTGTATTTCAGTGTGATACAGAAAACTTTCCATGACTTCCATCTACCCAGTGCAAATTCTGAAAAATTCATGCATGTTGTTTACCTTCATGACTAGAACACTTACTAAAATGACTCTGGATGTCTTTAGACAAATACTACCAGGAACATGTGTATTGGAACCAGTTGGTCATATTAGTTATTCTTATACATGTTTGATAGTGATGAACAGAGAAGACTTGGAGAGCTAACATACGCTTTCTCAATTACAGGTTCACTGGTTTCACATCTGCTCATGGCTGGCTTTAGCTATGGCTTAATATGTAGCTGTGATTCCTTAGTGCTTGCAGTGGCTGCAGCTTACTTACACACTTTGCAAAAAGTGAGCAATTTCATGGGTTCCATGTATTCTGGGAAGGGACTTGTCATCGGAGTTTAGATTATGTGAATGAATGTTAATTCAAACTTGCAAAAGGCTCACTGAAAATTATCAGTTTTTAAATTAACTGGATGTTAGACAAGGGTAGAAGAAGTTTTATTGTAGGTTTTCACAACTTATGTGAAAATGGAACCTCTGTTAACCATTGCTATTACTTGGAGACTCCTTTTTATGTATAACACCACATTTACCACTATCCACTTCTGAATCTTGAAAATGTAATGGTTCTTCAACTCAGCCCTTTTCTAACTGATCCTATCCACTCTGTTCTTCTGCTGCTGCATTCTTTGTTCATTCCTTCTTTTATTCATTCTTTCATGTTTCCTCCACCCTTCCTTCCTCTCTCCATTTTCCCTGTTCCTTGCGATCTTCCTTCCTTCACTCCCTCCTTTCCTCCCTTCCTCTCTTCTTTCTTCCTCCTTGACTTCTTTCTTTCTTTCCTTCCTTCTTTCTTTCCTTCCTTCCTTCCAATCTCCATTCCTTCCTTCTTTCCTTTTTCTTATATTTTGGGGACTGTATCCTATTAACTCAGATCAAAATATGTAATGTCCTAATCACTGCAATGACAGCAAATCCAGTGGAAATCATTTCTACAGAGTATTTTGTATGCATTAATATAATGTCACTGTTATTTCTATCACCGAGTTAATGAACATCTTCAATACTAAAGTAAAAATATCAGGCAATTCCTTCATTTCTTTATGCAAAGTAAACTTAAATACCTAAGCTCTGTTGCTAGGCAACTTAACTTATAATTTGGACATTATTCTATAGAGACATGTGGCCTTGAGGAAGTATACAGATGGCCATACCACCTTGAACACACACGCCCCCCCCCCATCTCCTCTGATCTCAGAAGCTAAGCAGGATTGGGCCTGGTTAGTACTTGGATGGGAGCAAGTATTTAAATTTTTGTACACTGTTTTCTCATCTGAGAAATATCTCATTGAGATATAACCACAAAAAGTACAGGTATTAATGAAATTGTGCAGCAGCAAATAAGCTACATAGATATGCACATTATTACTGTTACAAGGGAGAAAATTTTTCCCATTGTCTTAGGATTTCTAGCTAGCTTTGTAAATGTTAAGACAAAGACAATTTATCTATGGTGAGTACGTAAATTTATTCCACAAAATTTTACATGACAATAGGCTAGAAAATCCAAGGCTAAGGCCAGCACCTCTCACAATTCATTTCAGAGTACTTTTAATTGGTCCTTATCAATATTGATCCCTTTAGTCACCTCAGCTCTCCTGCCCTCTCATTTTTTTTTTCACTATCAGGGATCAAACTCAGGACCTTGAGCTTACTAGGCAGGCACAGTGCCTTGTGTTAAATCCCCAGCTTGGCCTTCTCCTTTCTTACCTTTCTCTAATCCCCTGTCCATCACCAAAACACACAATCTTTTATTATTTCATTCTCTCTCTCTCTCTCTCTCTCTCTCTCTCTCAGACAGGGTCTCCCTACATAGTTTAGTTTAGGCTGTGGACTCATGATGTTGGCCACTGGAGATGATCCTCCTACTCCAGACTCCTGAGTGCTTAGATTAGGAACCGATGTGACCATGTCTACTGCTAGCTTTGCTTCCTCTTTTGGTTTGGAATGGGGTGAACATTTGACATAATGTCTTGCTATGTCGCACAGGCTGACCTCAAAC